GTTGATCTATCCCGCTCACAATCTGTTCCAGTTTTCATGAAGTGGCTTTCCCAGAATGTTTCCAATCGTCCTCATAGTCTTTTACTCGTTTCTGAAAATAGTTTTAAGTGTCTCTAAACACCCTCTAGTTCTAGTGGTTTCATTTGATTCTTTAAGGCATGATTTCGTCAATAAAAGTGCCACCCCAAATTTGTTCGCCTTGTCCCAGCTTGGAGTTCGAACAAAATATATGAAGAATATTTTTCCGACCAAAACTTTGCCAGTTCATTTTTCGATAGCAACTGGCGTTTACGCTGAGGATCATGGAGTTCTTGCTAACTCTGTGTTTTACAACAATCGATCTCATAAATATTCCAACGCGCTATTCGATTATAATGAAGACGTTGTGCCCATATGGGTAGGTATTTTGCAACTTTCCTTCAAAATGTATTCATTCATGTATTTTTCCATGCAAACCTACAACACTCAGCCCTGTCCACTCTCAAACAGATAGATTTCGCGCCTTCCGTGGGGGCTAGTTTCCGAAGCTTAAACTACCGAATATTAAGATTTCAGATGTAAGTAGTTTTACCTCTTGAGAAAAATGTGCATCCTAGCTGCTGCCTTCCCGAAAGCATGCTTTTTCAATGGTGCATTATCCATTTAATTGCCTAACGGTACGAGGAAAATTATTTATTTTGAAAAAAAAGGTTAGTGCCTTAAAGGATAAGTACCGCCCATCCTCCCTAGACATGAAACGAACCAATTTTTCACGGTGCCTTTTTTGTGCCTCCAGACAAAGTTTCAGATAGGCACCTTACCAGGTAATCGTTTCATTAACAATTCATACCCAAAGCAACTTTAGCACTGAATATACAGATACCTTATAATTTTTAAAATATCTTAAAATGTCAATTTACTGGTGCTTTTTGCATATTTTTGAAGAATTTATGCCTGATTTGAATGTTTGTTAGACGCTGAACGAAAAAGCAGGAAATGGACGACATAGTGGTTCTATGATGTGGCCGGGAGGGGAATTTCCATATCAGGGAGTGAAACCAACCCATGTGCAACCGTACGACATGTCCTTTAATTGGACCAAACGAGCAGATACAGTCATCTCATGGTTCTTGAATTCCACGGCACCGGCCAACTTTATCATGGCTTATTTTGACAACCTAGATGTGGTAGGCCACCGGTTTGGCGTCAACGACCCCTCATTCAAAGCGCAGATCCAGCAATGCGATCAGGCGGCCAAGTATATCCAGGATCAACTCGTGGCGCATGGACTTCAGGATAAGGTCAACGTTTTTCTTCTCAGCGACCACGGCATGGTGTCCGTCAAACAGGAGCATATAATCGATCTTAACAAGTTCGCCGATCTCAGTTCCTTCGATCTCACCGGCACCTCTCCCGTTGTCCAAATCACTGCCATCAACACCACACAAAAGAGCTGTAAGTGCAAATGCAGTACTTTATATTTCAGAAAACACAGTCCATGCGGATTTCCTTGATTATTGATACTTGGAAAACTTTCAGCTTTAAATCAACCCCCCCCCCCC